CCCCAAAACCCCAAAACCCCAAAACCCCTTTAGAGAGGTAAAGATTGAAACCCATAAGGATTTCCCAAGTTTATTGACGACATCTGCGAACTCGAATTTGTACTAAGGATGTCATAAGGGTTCTCAGTAGGAGGATTGGCATCAGGATCTTCAGCTTCCATCTGCTGGCTAAACTCACTCAGGTAGAGCTTATTAGAAGAAAGCGATAAATTAGTGTCACATTGGATTCCTATGGATTTCTTATGGCTCAGTTCATTCACTTTATCTATATTTCCGTTTATATCGAATTTTATATCTTTTGTAACATTCTTATTCACAGGGTGTCAATGAAGAACTTGATAATTGTCTATGATAAATCTTCCCGCTATTTCTCTTCCTTTAACTGTTTGGCCTTTAATCGAAGCAGCAATATTTTCTGGAATAAACTTAAACTTTAGGTAAAATCTTCATCTCAAAGGATCTCCTTCGGTTGTTTTCCCTAAATTTCATCATCCAAATTGAAGAATAGGAAATTTAGTATTGGGGTCTTCCCAACTTTCACAGAGCAGTTCAAAGCCTCTATGACTTGCATGAATTTTCATCGAATTCTTTAGTTTATCAGTCTTCTTACAAACTAGGAAGATCATTTCTTCAGGTTGTGCAGTTAAATAATGATGCGTGTTTTGGACATCTTTCATGACTTCTTTCTTAACCACTGTAGATTGATGTCCAAGCATCCTCAATGCTTTTGATTGGCGATCCCAATTAGAGAAAGAATCTTGTCCATATCTATTGAGAACTCCAGATCCTAGTGTTAAGTATTCCTGGAATAATTTCATGTATTCAAGCATATCGATGGGGTCTTCACTCTTAGTGATGATTGAGGTTTCTACACCCGATTCTGTCATTATTCCATTAGCTTTTTTAAAAGACATGATGAAGTTTAGGAGAGCCATAGAGTAGTTGTTACCTGAAACTTCAAGTTTTTCTAATTGAGAAGTTATCGATTCCAAAGAGTCTCCACTATTTTGGTCTAAATATCCTGGAAGATGCTTTTTGATTAAATGAGAATGTGTCTGAGAAAATTCATTCAGTTTGTCAACACCTTGTCCCATACCAAATGATCCTTGTATTAGATTTCCAGCCTTTTCTGTCTTTATTGAAAGCTCTTCCTTTATTTCTGGAGTCAGGTTAGCTTCTATTCCCACATAGCAGCTTTTGATTGTTGATTGAGATGATTGAGGAGTATTACTTTGAAATAAAGGGTTTAGAAAATTGTTGGCTCCTACTTTATAGGTAGAGATATTACTTTCCTCTGACAAGCAGAAGTCTTCTTCCTCTTTGTTATCAAGCATGCTTAAATCATCAAGTTCTTCATATTCCTTATCGATCTTTTTCTGAGAACATTTCATGCTTCTCTTCCTATATGCGCTAGTTGTGACTAGATTATAGTTGGCATTATTGGTTAGACTGGTCACTTCTTGAATCATATTAGCTTGTGCATAATCCATTAGAACATACCTCAGATTTTCATTTGGAGTAGGGAGAGGATTCTCTGAATGCTGATTGTAATAGTTAAATACAGTCATCAATAAATTCATCCATGCATTTGTATTTACTTATTTCTGTAGTAAAAGGAATTTGGATATCAACTTCTGGAACATAAATATAGAGTTTGATCTCTCTTTCAAATTTCTTTTGGCATTTTCTGCCTTTGTTAGGACCTCCTTTAAGGCCATATCCTATATTAGTTTTAGTCTGCTTCTTTGAGTTAGTAACTTTATGCTTAGTGTTCACTCTCTTTTTCTTTTTATTCATGCTAAAATCAATATCTTGATTATCTTGTAGGTCCTCCAAGCTATCAAAGTTTGGGCCTTTCCGAGATTTTGAGGAATAATTTATGTTTGAATCAAACTCTGCAAGATACTCTCTGGTTCTTCCATGATTGCGAGAAGTAGCGTCTTCGAATTCTTTAAGCATGTTGTTCTCATTTTCATTGGATCCTCGGTAATCAGTGTTCATTTTCAATAATTTAAGTGTAATCAGGGGTTTTGGGGTTTTGGGGTTTTGGGGTTTTGGGG